CGAAGTTCGTGTACTCAGACCAGTAATATTTGGGGTCACAAGTTTTTGCCATGGATATTTTGTGGGTCAGAAGATAAAAAGTTTGGGAACAACTGATCTAGACGGTTTCAAATTTACAAACACGTCCTGCCACAGCTCACAAGTGCTCTGTATTCGACAAACTGCACACCTGCTGTAACTCACCTGTTTTGTAAAATGAACAGTTTTCCTCTATTAAAAACTGTGTTAAATTGGTGGGCGGGGCTCTTTCTACCTGTTTTATCCCTAATCTGTCCAGATTGGCCGATTCCTCCGTCCATCACAGCAGCTTACAGGCAGTGGGATGATTTAAGTAGATTAGGGATGAAATGGGAGTATTTAGTGGCTGCACGCTGTGGTCGTCTCAGTGATGGCTGCTTCATGGAAACATGTCTGCATCCTCCTCCTCCTCCTCCTCCTCCTCCTCCTGCAGTCGTTCACCTGCCTCCACCAACAGCCTGCTGACAGGTAAAGCTCAGACACGTTGTTATTGTTCTGTTTCTGACTCATTCTGATCTTTAACTCTTCACATGTTCACATTTAAGTTTGAGCTCATTTGAACAGATGAAACACTACAAGCCACAACTCAGTTTGAGCTTTTAAAGGCTATGTCTATAAACTGATGAGCAACATTATCTTTTTATAGTCAGAGTTTATTAAGCTGCCGAGACAACAGTTTTATGACTTTGTAACAYAACCTGACTACAATTTTAATGCAGGTAAATCACTTAAAATGATAGTATAAACAGCTAAATAGGACCATAAAAATCAAATCACATGACCAGCAGGTCTAAAATATTTTTAATCATTTATTTTTCTCTGCACGGCTTTCAGAGCATCAGTTTGTTTTCTGTTTATAAGATTTATTATTTTCCTCTGAGCCAACTGAAGTGGATTATTTGCTTTTAGTTCATCTCTCTTTCATAGATTTGATTCTGTTTGTTAATCCTCTTTGTTTCTGTTGCCTGTTAGCTGCCTGCTTGTTTCCCATCATTTAAGCTCATTTCTACATTTTAAAGCCATCTCTCTGCCTCCTGTATTTAGGTCATCTTCTCCACTTTACTGACAAAACTGCTGACATTAAAAAGTGATTTATGGGCTGATTTATTTTTAGAGTTTATTTTTGATGATTATAAAAAAAAGGCTGTAAATATCTCCTAATACGATCTGATGAAGGCCAGGTTTAAATTTAAGACCTGCTGAGTCTGGGAGGATCTGCTGAAGAACTTTAAAAAGTGCTTGTTCTCATTTTAGCATTTTATTGTTGTTTTGTTATATACGTCCTCAGAGTTGCTTCCATTTTTTGTCTCATATCAAAACGTTTGGCTCGTTCAGGAGATGAACTTCTGCTTTTTTTTACTTTTACATTTTTTTTTTACATATTTAGCTTTATTCAACAGAAATTTCCCATAAACATGCATCAAGATCTCTACACTTTTAGCCTTCGGCTGYCCTTTTGATACATTAAGTTCTTGGCTATAGCTTTTGTAGCATTTTTTCTAGTTGTTCACAACTTTTAGCTTGATTTTTTTTTTAGATTTCTGCTACTTTAGCATTTTGTCAGCCTTATTTAATCTTTTGATACATTTAAATTTACTACCTTTAATAGCTTTTTGCTACTTTTAACTCTTTAATACATTTAGCGTTTGCTACTTTAGCAAAGGTGTTATACTACGTTTAGCTACATATTAACTTTAAGTTTGACTACTTGCTACTTTTATATAACATTTTAATGCATTTAGCTTTTTTCTACCTGAGCAGATTCAGCCATTTGCTACCTGTAGCTTTTAGCTTGCTTTTTGTAAATTTTGCCTTTTAGCTAGTCTTTTGGTTTAAGTTTTACTGCTTTAAATCAGCCTTTTTCTACATTTAGCTACCATTACATTTAGCTTTTTGCTACTTTAGTATGCAGTCAACCGTTTGCTACTTTGACTCTTTAGTCTTTGCTACTTTTAGATTTGTGCTAGTGTTCCTTTAGATTTAACAGCTCATTTCATCCTCGTTTGTAAATTTCAGCAGCTGTAGCATCCTTAGCTTTCATCATTTCTCCTGTAGAGTAGTAGGGCTGACAGGCCAGTGTTTGCTTATTTATTTATTAATTTAGATTTAATTTTATTTATTTTCCTGAGTTCCAGGGCTGACAGGTCAGTGTTTGTGTGCTGGACGTGTTGGCAGATGTTTGTCAGACGTTACTTTAAGGATTAAGAAGCTGTAAAATCTCATTTTTTGGCAGAGGGTCTCGTCTTCTTCCTTATAATCTGTGGAAACTCGTGATTGTATGAGGATTATAATCTCTGCTGCTCTGACCTACAGGATCAGGTAGAATTTGATGCAGAGATTTAGTCAGGGCTGATTTGTTTGCTCTATTGTTCATTCTCTGGAATATTCTGCACAATATTTTTGTTTGTACAAAGAAAATGAGTTTACTAAAAGGATYAAATATAAATCCTCTATTTGCATCTGGTCAGATAAACAAATGGATAAATGCATTTAGTGACCTTTTAACAACCAAAAATTAAATATAACTCTTGATTTGTTTTGTTGTACTTTTGGAGTTTTTGTGAAATGTGGTTAAACCTTTTTCTAGATAATGTTTATTTCAGAAGTAAATATATGCACAGGTGGAGTTCATTATTCAGTTTAGTAAACAGTCAGATTAACATGTAGCTCAGGTTTGATGTCTGTTGAACTCTTTGACCCTCTGAGCTCAGGTCAAACACCTGTAAAGGTTCAGGTATAATAAAAATAAAACTTTAAGTTCAGTAAATAAACCAGAAGAGATGAATTCTGTTGTAATCCAGCTGAATAAAAAACCTTTAAAATTAAGTTCACGTGATTCAATCTGTGTAATTAAACTCCAAACTGATGTTCAAAAAGTCATCTACAACAGATAAGATATTTATGATCATTAATAAATGGAAAAACATAAATCAGACCTGATGGTTGGAGGTATGATTTGAAACTTTAAACATTTTTTATTAAAGTGGGTCGACTCTGCAGCAGCAGAACCCGTCTGAGCCAAACTGAACTCGTGTTAATCCTTCAGGTCTGCAGCCGGGTCAACTCACTGACCAGAGTCTGGCTTTGAGTCATTTCATGTCCTGTTAGTTAAAATGCACCTGCACTGGGTTTTAGGGTTATAAAAGGTACAAACACCCATGATTAATAAACTGAAATTATAAAAAAAATATTTGAAACATATAAAG